AGTTTGGTTATTTCAAATATATGTTTGTGTGAGTTTTTATATATATTTTAACTTATCAAAATATTTGTAACAATGTATATTTCTTTATTGATCTGTTTTTGTTTACATTTTTGTAAGTTAGTATAAGACTTCTAGTTTTAATAAGTTTTGACTATCACTTTTTCTATTAACACTTGTTCTGTCAATGATTATTAAATTAAAAAGCATCAAATATATATATTTTTAAATGGGATTATTTTTACAACAGAATATATAGTTTTGAAAAGAATATATAGTCTTCAGGCAATGTTAGCCTTTATCAAAAGACAAATTTTTATGTTGCACTTTTACTTTTTAAGTTTTATTTTATTACACATGTTTGCGTTGTTTTCATCAGTGGCCAGAACCCCATTTGGTTACCTGTACTCATTAGTGTAATTTACTCTTTACAAATAAAAGGTAATAAAACTAAATCCAAAGAAATTCAAAAACAATAACAAGACTCAGAACGAAACACTATAAATGATAAAGCACAATTAGGATTATAGATACAAGAAAATAAGATTGTCAGATGATGGTAAAAATGCTGTTACCGAAGCATCACACACTATTAAATTATTTGGATTAGGTCTTATTTTCTTGTATCGAAACACTACAAAGGAATGACAATACATCCAGATGGCACAAGAACCTATAGGACAATTGTCCTGGTGTGGAACTAACACCTACCCACATATTCTCATGCCCAGCAATGGCTGCAGCCTTGCAGAAAATTGACATGGACCCATAGCAGCAGCTTTACACACACAAGATAGAAGACATTGCTGTGATAGAGATGTATGGAGATATCTGAGGCTCTTCGTTGGACACAACAACAACAACAGAAAATTGACATGGACCCAGAACAGCAGCTTTACACACCCAAGTTAGAGAACATTGCTGGGATAGAGATGTATGGAGACATCTGAGGCTCTTCAGTGGACATAACAACAACAACAGAAAATTGACATGGACCCAGAACAGCAGCTTTACACACCAAAGATAGAGGACATTGCTGTGATAGAGATGTATGGAGACATCTGAGGCTCTTCATTGGACACAACAACAACAGAAAATTGACATGGACCCAGAACAGCCGCCTTACACACCCAAGATAGAGGACATTGCTGTGATAGAGATGTATGGAGACATCTGAGGCTCTTCATTGGACACAACAACAACAAAAAATTGACATGGACCCAGAACAGCAGCTTTACACACCCAAGATAGAGAACATTGCTGTGATAGAAATGTATGGAGACATCTGAGGCTCTTCATTGTACACAACAACAACAACAGAAAATTGACATGGACCCAGAACAGCAGTTTTACACACCCAAGATAGAGAACATTGCCGTGATAGAGATGTATGGAGATATCTCAGGCACTTCATTGGACGCAACAACAACAACAGAAAATTGACATGGACCCAGAACAGCAGCTTTACACACCCAAGATAGAGGAAATTGCTGTGATAGAGATGTATGGAGACATCTGAGGCTCTTCATTGGACACGACAACAACAACAGAAAATTGACATGGACCCAGAACAGTAGCCGCTCCTAACATGGAGTACATCCTGTATCCCTGGAGACCTTACAGGGTACTATCAGCATGGCCAGCTGAGCCCAGGTTGTTTAGTGAGCTTGTTACTGCTCCCCCTCCTCTGACATGAGGAACAGACACCATATGTAGCCACTTCTAACATGGAGTACATCCTGTATCCCTGGAGACCTTACAGGGTACTATCAGCCGGGCCAGCTGAGCCCAGGCTGTTTAGTGAGCTTGTTTACTGCTTCCCCTACTCCTTTTTCATCCAGGCTTGGGACTGGCAAAGACAGTTATATATAATTGTCATTTTAAAATAGTACAGACTGTACTTTTGCATTGTCAAGATGTCAATACTGGAGTTCTACATGAGGGGTGTTTGTTCCAGGTCCTAGGTGGGGTAGAACATGGAATTTTACACCCCCGAAGAATGCCCCCCAAGTCAGCCCAATTTGAAGTCTTGGACAGAACCCTTCCGCCATTTTGATGGTAAGTTTATTCAAAGCATGCTGATCCAGTCTGTGCCAATCTACCCCATGTCTCTAGCTGAATGGAACAATGCCTAAACATCATCAAACAAGAGTAGATGGTCATGTATTGCCCACAGATATCTTGTGTGGGATGAATATTGGGAATATGTTGTATCGGTACTTTCCTATAATCCTTCTTCTTCTTTCTTATCTCCACTCAATCGTATTAGGGTATCAAGTTGTGACCTTTGATGGTGTCTGTTTGACAACCATCATGACTGGGTGAAGTAGAATGCGTCTGCCTTTGTCATTAAGACTGGGAGCACTACTCAGTGGCAGGCCACTAATTTAGCTCCATAAGAAATGGCCTCCTCTGACATGAGGAACAGACACCATGTACAGCTGCTCCTAACATGGAGTACAAACGCTGCTCATCCTGTATTCCTGGATTAGGAGACCTTACAGGGTACTATCAGCCGGGCCAGCTGAGCCCAGGTTTTTTAGTGAGCTTGTTACTGCTCCCCCTTCTCCTTTTTCATCCGGGCTTGGGACAGGCAAAGTTTTAAAGTTTTTTATTGTTTTGCCGAACTCTCTCTCTTTCAAGCATTTCTTCCCTTCCACAGGAGACAAAATAAGAAAATGTATAAGAAGATGAATTTTTTATATACCATCATTCATATAAGATCAGGTGCTGATATTAAAAATAAAGTAGGCATATCCTGACCAGGAGCCCATATGCTTTTCAGAGGGAACAGGCTAAATCAATGTTTAGTTGATTTCTGTTCCACCAGATGTCGCTCTGCCTTCTGAAAAAGCATATGTGCTCCTGGTCAGGATATGCCTACTTTGTTTTTAATAACATTTTAATTACATACACCAATACCTCGCTTTGTGTCGTTTTGTTTTGCGTTTTCTTTTGAAGTTGCGTCGCTGCTTAATTTTTACTGATTTTCACTGTGCGTCATTAGATTTTCGAAGTTGCGTTGTTTTAGATTCGAGTCTTTAATTAAAAAAAAATTTTTTTTTCTAAAATATGGCAACACCTTTGTTTTTGATTGCGCCTTCACATATTTTCACTTTGAGTCATTTCAATTTGCGTCGTGTTTTTTTGGAACATAACCCCGACGCAAAGCGAGGTATGGATGTATTTACATATAATTAGGAAATATGCTTTTAAAGATAAATGGAGAGAGGGAGAATGACATATATATAATAGTGTATGAGTATATATGTAAAATTGTATTTGTAGTAGACAATGTACTATGGAGAAAATTTAAGAAAATAAGACCTAATCCAAATAATTTATTAGTGTCTGACATTTCGGCAACAGCATTGTTACCATCATCAGACCAAAGAATAATTGTCATTCAGTCATTTTTTCTTTTGTCTGATGATGGTGACAATGCTGTTGCCGATATGTCACACACTAATAAATTATTTGGATTAGGTCTTATTTTCTTGTATTATAATCTATAATCCAGATACACATCCTCAATATGGACCTAATCTGGCTGAAATTTTAACTGGAAATAAAGAACATCCTGGAAGAGATAAATGTCGCATTTTTGGTCAAGAAAAATTAAAATGGACCAAGTTCTGGGCAAAAATAGTTGTTTTTTAGTCAGAAAATGATGATGACAATATTGCTGTATCATGTTTGATTGTCAGATAGATACAAAATTATATCGGGGAAAAAAAAAATCCATAAAGCAGACATAAAGCCAGTTCATCTATATACAGTCGAACCTCTTTAATTCAACACCCCAAGGGATCAGAGCTTTCGGTTGAATTAAAGGAAGTGTTGAATTAAAGTTATTCAGATGATTAGCTAATCATCTAACTTGCTAAAATAATATTTTTTAAAAATTGCTTTGTAATATAAATTAATGATATTAATTGAAACCGTTGTGTGTGTGTATTTTTTTGTTTTTATTTTCATGATTAACTTTTAGTATCAGGGGCAAAATGGCAATAATATATATTTTTGAAACATAAATAATTACAAATAATATTTTATTCTAATTGAAGAATATAGCAGTTGAAAGAAAATAAATATGGAAAATAAAAAGAAAATTTTAAAATAATATTTAAAAATAATCATGAAGAGAGATCTTTTAAAAATTCCTTTATAGATGTCTGTTTTTGCACTGAAATCCTATTCAGGATGTATTCCATGCATGTCTTTCTTCCTCCGGAATGTGTTTTAAATAACAAAGAGCTTTTATTGTATTAAAGGCATCCACTGCTGCTGCAGGTGTTATTGATTTTGTGTTTAAATCTTATATAATAACAAGGAAATGGAATATTGAAATTAAATGTTATCATAATCATTGTGGCTACATTTTAAGAAGATTTATTTATTTAAAAGGTAATTATTTGTAAATTTTAAAATAACTAAAATATTTCAATGCTGAAAATTAAAAAGAAAATAATATTATTAATTAGCACACAAAGCCTAAATTCCCGCGTAAAAAAGAAAAAAAAAACAAACAAACAATAACACTCGCGACATTGTGCAACGGCACTGCAAAGTGAAACTTGAACTAACAGAAACCAAAAGTGCGCAGGCGCGATTTTATCAGCACCCGCCGATCATCGCCACCGCCGTAATACCTTTTTAACGGTAAAGTTGTATGTAAAAAAACATTCAACCGTCGAAATTCAAATTTTAAAATGTTCGAACTATCGGAACTGTCATATTATCGATACTGTCAAATTACGGTTTGTTATTTGATAGGCTGGAGGTCGGGACATCAGAATAGGGTAGAATTAAGGTAGAGTGTCGAATTTGTGTGTGTCGAATTAAAGAGGTTATACTGTATATAAAAAAAGGTAATAAAAGAAACTCATCTTCCTTCACCATGTTTTTCGTCTAATAAAAAATCGCCTCTCAGCTTTTTGGCTGAGATGATAGTGATATATACTCTCTCTCTCTATATATAAATGTCATTTATATCTTTGCCTACGGCCATAGCACATTGAAAACACCGGTTCTCGTCCGATCACCTAAGTTAAGCAATGTCGGGCCCGGTCAGTTCCTGGGAGGTGATATATATCTTTATAAAAATCCAAAAATATTATCAGCAAATATCCATTCTCTACTCAATCAATTTTTATAGAATACAGTTAAACCTGTCTATAGCACCCCCTCCAAATAGCCCTCCCTCTCTATAGCGCCCGATTTTAAATACGTAGTACGATGTGATTTACATTAAAAGTGACCTGTCTATAGCGCCCCCTCTAAATAGCCCTCCCTCTCTATAGCGCCTGATTTTAAATACGTAGTACGATGTGATTTACATTAAAAGTGACCTGTCTATAGCACCCCCTCCAAATAGCCCTCCCTCTCTATAGCGCCCGATTTTAAATACGTAGTACGATGTGATTTACATTAAAAGTGACCTGTCTATAGCACCCCCTCCAAATAGCCCTCCCTCTCTATAGCGCCTGATTTTAAATACGTAGTATGATGTGATTTACATTAAAAGTGACCTGTCTATAGCACCCCCTCCAAATAGCCCTCCCTCTCTATAGCGCCCGATTTTAAATACGTAGTATGATGTGATTTACATTAAAAGTGACCTGTCTATAGCACCCCCTCCAAATAGCCCTCCCTCTCTATAGCGCCCGATTTTAAATACATAGTACCATGTGATTTACATTAAAAGTGACCTGTCTATAGCACCCCCTCCAAATAGCCCTCCCTCTCTATAGCGCCCGATTTTAAATACGTAGTACGATGTGATTTACATTAAGTGACCTGTCTATAGCACCCTATTTTGGTAAGTCCCAAGAGGAGGCAATATAGACAGGTTTAACTGTATATTTTAAACACAAGGTATTAAGACCAAATCAAATAACCTTGTGTTTGTAATTTATATTCCACAAATTGTGCCTTGTTATTATAATATATATATATATATATATATATATATATAACTAGACGGGTGACCCGGGCTACGCCCCGGGATTGACCCGTGTGATATTTAGATAATATATATTTTTTTTATAATTGTTTGTTATTAGCATTATCTATTTGTTTGCATCAGCATAATTTAATCTAATCTTTGATAGAGGGCGCTGTTCGTGATCTAAGTAGAATAATTTGAATATATAGTTTTAATAATTGATTTATATATTTTTTAAAATAACCTATCGTCTTCCCCGTATTCTTTTACCTATGTATGGAAATTTTGGTTTGAATTAGTGAACTACTGCGAATTTGTATACCAGACATACAAACAAACAAACATACAAACATTCATTTTTATATATATAGAAAAAATATATATTACATAATATATATATAATAAATGTTTGTAGCTGCTGTTACAGAGAAACCAAAAATTCCTACTAAAAGCTATTTATTAGGAGTACAAATAAGTTTTGAGGGATTTTTTTATAAATTCGAAGCTTTATTCAGAGAAATCAGTATTTCATTCAAAGTATTGTCCATCTTTAGCTACGACTTTTTCCCATCTTTCAGGCAGCATACGGATTCCGTGTCGAAAAAATTCCTAGTCTTTTGAGGCGATCCAAACATTGACCCAATTTTTCGCCTCTTCGTAAGAAGTGAAGTGCTGCTCGGCCAGGCCATGTGTCATCGAACGGAACATGTGGTAGTCTGAAGGAGCAATGTCTGGTGAATACGCCGGGTGGGGTAGGACATCCCATTGAAGCGCCTCCAAAGTCTCCTTGACAACTTTTGCAACATGTGGCCGAGCGTTGTCGTGCTGATAGATCACCTTGTCATGTCTTTTGGCATATAGTGGGCGTTTGATCTTCAATGCTCGGCTTAATCGCATCAATTGTTGTTGGTAACGTTCTCCAGTGATGGTTTCGTTAGGCTGAAGTAGCTCATAGTAGATCACTCCGAGCTGATCCCACCAGAAGCACAGCATTAGCTTCTTGCCATGAATATTCGGTTTGGCCGTTGAAGTTGATGCATGACCGGGCTTAACCCACGATTTTCTGCGCTTTGGGTTTTCGTAGTGAATCCACTTTTCGTCCCCGTCACGATTCAATGTAAAAAACCCTTCCAATTTTGTCTTTTGAGCAGTAGTTCGCACGTGCAAATACAGTGCTCAATGTTTCCTGGCTTGAGTTCATATGGAACCCAATTTCCTTGTTTTTGCACCATACCCATGACCTTGAGACGGTTCGAAATCGCTTGTTGAGTCACTCCCAAGGTTTCAGCGAGCTCCTCTTGAGCTTGGCTTGAATCTTCGTCCAATAAAGCCTCCAACTCAGCGTCTTCGAACTTTATTGGTCTCCCTCTGCATTCTTTGTCTCTGGTGTCAAAATCGCCACTTTTGAAACGCCGAAACCAGTGCTCACATGATTTTATTGATAGAACATGTTTACCATATGCCTCACACAGCAATCGATGTCCATCAGTTGCACTTTTCTTCAAATTAAAACAAAAAAGCAGCGCTTCCCACAAATTGTGTTTTGTTGGCAAAAAGGTTGACATGGTTAGAGCACCAAAAAAAAAGTTCCTTACACTTGAGTGAAAAGACTTCTGATTTTTTGGGGGAAATGATGAAGCCTTAACATGAAACCTTACATGGTCCGATGCTATTTATATAATATTTGTTGTGGCTTCTTTTGCAAATCCCTCAAAACTTATTTGTACTCCCAATAATAGGAATTCAGCAATAGTAAGCTCTGTATTCAGGGGTTTTAAAAGCTTTCAAATCTGTTCAAAATCTACAAATAATAGATGGTGAAATAAAATTGAGACAATTAGAAAATATATATTTGCAAGAATTTTACCCAAAACTATGAAATGTTATGAATGTATGAAATGCTGAATGTTTGCCAATCAAATTCTTTTCCATTTTGTTATTACTAGTATTTTTTAAAGAATGACAAAAATTATTTACAATGATTTTTTGGTTTGAAAACACAAATTCCAAGAGCGACTACCAATTCAACACCAAATACACCTAATGTTGATAGGGAAAAGTAAAAACATATTTTGATAATTTTGGAAGTTTTGCGTGTTAACCCGGCATTGCGCGCGCCGGGTGAAAATTACCCATGGCAACATTTGAATGGAGAATTAACCAATAAAAAATCGGTTGGTGGAGATGTGGTTTCGTTTAGCTTCCTGACTCATCAATTAGTCTAAAGTTTTGGTTTCACATTTTGACAGCTCCCACTGAAATTCCATCTATTGTCACTGTCGGGTAAAAATTACCCGGCGCGCGCACTCACGTAATTTTTTTGTTGCATTTTTTTATAACATTTTTTTAAAGTGAGATAAATAATTCAAATTAATAATCTGAAAAATAACTATAATAGGTTGATATATTTATCAGCCTATATTTCTATATAAAATGGAGGAAAGAAGGTCATATTTATTAGATCAAGAAGAGATTATTGTAGAAGGTGATATTGAAGAAGATCATCTAAATGAGCATTTTTATGGAAATGACACTGGAATATATTCAGATATAGGAATTTTGTGGAATAAGGGAATTATCCCACAAACACATTTTTATATAGGGAGAGCCTCGAAAATCAAATGGTTCAAAAATTGTCCTTCACAAACACTAAAGCTGAGAACGCCTAATGTCATTACACATTTACTAGGCTTGAAAGGTGAAGAAGCAAAAAATTAAAATACACCTTTAGAAGCTCTTTTGAAGAAAATTCTTGAAATGTTTGGCCCTTGAACTCATCAAAGAGCAACTAAATAAAAGAAAAATAATTTCTTCACTGCCAAAAAGACTATTAAAAATTTCCTTTTTTTACAGATAAGTTAATTTAAATCATAAATGTATACTCTAAATATTTATTTCAATTATTATTTAGAAGGCACTTCAAGCCATAAAGAAGGTCAGGAACCGCAAGATAAAGCTTCCTACCAGATGTAGTGTGTCCCTCCAGTAAGGACAGGAAGACCTCGACTTTGTGCCATAAATGTGCAAAGCCAATTTATAAAGGACATACAATTGCAGTTTGCAATGATTTGTCTAAAATATCCTCATGGAATTTTATATATTCAATATTGAAAAGGAGCAATAGTTTCATATTTTATATGCCATTACCAATTTTGAGGATTATTCAAGAATAGTTTTTAAAATGTTTAATCTGTGTAAAAAATATAAATATTTTATTAATAATTGCCTTTTTTGAAAATTAAAATGTTATAACTTTGAAATAGAAAAGGTTTTGTTTTTCCTCAGTTAATATTTATATTCAAAATATGTAATTTTAATATCGGGTAAATTTCACCCAGCGCGCGCAAGTACGTTACATTTTTAGCGCGCGCGCTCGAGGGTTAATACAGTAAAACAACCTCCATGAGAGGACACTCGCGCTAGAGGACACCTCTCTACAAAGGACAGTTTCCATCACCAATACAGTAGAACAACCGGACACCTCTCTACAAAGGACAGTTTCCATCACCAATACAGTAGAACAACCGGACACCTCTCTACAAAGGACAGTTCCATCACCAATACAGTAGAACAACCGGACACCTCTCTACAAAGGACAGTTCCATCACCAATACAGTAGAACAACCGGACACCTCTCTACAAAGGACAGTTCCATCACCAATACAGTAGAACAACCGGACACCTCTCTACAAAGGACAGTTCCATCACCAATACAGTAGAACAACCGGACACCTCTCTACAAAGGACAGTTTCCATCACCAATACAGTAGAACAACCGGACACCTCTCTACAAAGGACAGTTCCATCACCAATACAGTAGAACAATCTCCATGAGAGGACACTCCCGTTAGAGGACATCTCTCTACAAAGGACAGTTTCCATCACCAATACAGTAGAACAATCTCCATGAGAGGACACTCCCGTTAGAGGACATCTCTCTACAAAGGACAGTTTCCATCACCAATACAGTAGAACAATCTCCATGAGAGGACACTCCCGTTAGAGGACATCTCTCTACAAAGGACAGTTTCCAACACCAATACAGTAGAACAATCTCCATGAGAGGACACTCCCGTTAGAGGACATCTCTCTACAAAGGACAGTTTCCAACACCAATACAGTAGAACAATCTCCATGAGAGGACACTCC